TGCGCTAAAGTTATGCTCGTTGTTGTCAGAGGTGTTGTTGCTCCGTCTAACCCATCCCACGTAACTGATTCTCTTGCTGAGGCCGAGGAGTTCGGCCTCGTCAAACTTGAAAATATGACCACGTCCCGTCGAGTGAACTAAAACCTGGGAGTCGATGTCTTTCTACCTCACCGCCACTGCTTGCTCGGCCATTCGCGTCCGGAGTAATCTCTTGGTTTCTCCGATGTAGTTGCTTTGTCCACAACAGCACCAGATCTGGTAAACGAATCCAGCTGTTTCCTGACGTGGCAGAGGGTCTTTCGGTCTCACGACCTGGTGCCTGATGTTTGCTTCTGGCCTGTGAGCAACTCTAATTCGTCTTAACCGCATTATACCATAAAGTACAACCGATGTGCATTTTTCAAGCCGTCAACGTAGATACCCAAGTGATATTACCTAAAATTAACCAAGGGTAATCACGTCGAACCTTCCTGCGCGACGGCCTGATGCAACATTTAGCAGGGCAAGCCTCAAAACTTGAAATCATGCGCAATAGCTCGAACACCTTTGGGGGAGGTAATGATGGACTGCAGTCTGCCAGGAGCATAGAATACTGAATGCTTTTTTCGACAATATAGATTTGTTGTTTTCTGTGGACACTATTAGCTACTCGGAATCATGTTTAAACAGGTAATACGTCTGAAATAAGTGTTTCACCACATTGAGCCAATTTATCTCGGTTATGGTCTACCTGGTAGAAATTAACCAGCTCCAGATTACCTTTTCTCAACCGATAAGTGTTTTCTTCACCTGGGAAAATATGCCTTACTTTAGAATTGTTTACTGTAAAATATTGGCATACCGATGCCTACCCAAGTGCAACTTGATATGATGAAAGGAAGCAGTCAATACGCGCGCTGGTCTACTTATAATTATTTATTCCGGTTGTTACATTTTCCGATAAGAATCCTTCTTTTACTTGCAGGATCTAGCGTTGCATACTTCGAATATTCTTTATTCAGTAAAGATTACTACGCAGAGGCGTCAATTAATTAATAGTGAAACTGTGTAGATTGCTTTCGGTTCTATCATCAAAATTATTTCACAGTGTTGTTCGTGTTTAAAATTGTTTGAATTCGCTTATAGCATTTCGGCAAATGGGAGCTGATAAAATGTCAGGCTACAGTGCGCCTGAATTAAGATCAAATTTTAATTTGATATTTTTTCATAGCCCAATCATCAAGCTTCTTTGTTGATGGGGAGGATTAGGCAGATTTTTTTAATTCAGTTGATGCAATTGTAGAAAAATTCGCGCACCTGGTGGAGGTCGAACCCACACAGCGGGGCAGTCTTTTGCGCGGCCAACGCTCTACAATAGAGCCAGGAGTCTCACCGAGTGTGATTAGCCCCTGTATTGTACTGGCCGAAAACATAGGTTTTCCAACATGCCTTCTCAATCATACAATGGAAATACTTCAGAACGATAGATGATAGTTTATTGTTTTTTTATTTGTAGTTTTGTTTTCAGTTTATTAATTTTTTTGGTTTTTTACTAGTTTTAATAGTTTTAGAGTTCTTTTAAGTTAAGTTAGTGCATTTTATTTTAATTTACATTTGTTTTGTTTCTTAAGATAGTTACTAACTTATTTTTTAGTTAAGTCTTTTATTATTAAACCAAAATGGGGTTGCTTTGGGATTTAAAACTTTTACCAATTTAGTTTTTTCTTACTTGATTTAGCTAGATTGGCTCATTTAAGTCAGTTCAGCTGTTATTTTTGTGATTTTTGGTATTATTAAGTTTTAGATTAGTTTAAACTTTGCTCGTTTACCTTTCTTCCGTTAGTTGACTTCCATTTTAGTTCGTTATTTCTTAGTTTACTTACGCTAGCTTATTCTACTTTACATTTCGTCAGTTGATTTACTTGAATTTTAATTTATTTAGCAGTTTATTTTTAATAGTGGTATATGGACTTTATTTTATTTCCACTTTCATTTAATTTCTGAAATTCACTGTTGTTTGCGTTATTCTGCAAGATTGAGCAGTTCCCGATTTTTGTGCAGTTGCTTGTTTTATTTATGGCTTGCTTATGCCAAACACTATACAACTAAACTTGTGGTTTCTATTCTTTTCTACTTCTATGCGCTTTACTTTTCAATTAGTTCCTTCCATGTTATGCGTCACCCATTTAATTGTTTATTACTGCTTGTCCCGTAGTGAAGATGGATAATGTTGAACCCAAAACGTAGTTTTTCCTGTGGTTGGGGGGCAGTAAAATAAGTAACTGCAACCCTTTCATTTAAGACAAATCACCCCTGCCCAAAAAATATTAACATTTTTCAGTTTGTACTGGAAGAAGGCCATGTTGCATACCTCATAAATGGACGCAGAACAGTTTTGACGAATTGACATTACATACCCTAAAAATGCTTGATACGAAGATTACTCGAAACCGAAATCTGTGATTTCTTCGAGCTAAATATTTTCAAAAGTCGTAATTTCCTTTGACATCGGTACAAGAAATAATAATTAAATATATGTTTACTATAATATCACTCTAAAGATAAAATGGCGTCGAAAATCGACAAAAAATTGTAATTCAATTAATAAGTCATTCGTTTTGATGAAATGTGGACAACGTATAGTAGACACCTGGCTAAAACACCCCCTCCTTCTTTGATAGGCTGCCATATTCAACCAGACAGTCCGATTCCTTAACGTCAGTTCGACTTTCTTTGTGCTCGATGAAACAGTCAACAAACTCCTCGATGCTATCGTGGTGATCAAGTCCGCCGTCAACAAATTTCCCACCGAAAACACCCGAGTCTTTCAGAATGTTGAGTAAAGACAATGCATTATAGGACATGCGTAAGTGAGTGGTAGACGTTTGTATAGACGGTCAATGTTGTTCAAAATATCAATAGTTCCTGAGAACTGCGCAAGTAGTTTTTTTCACTGTCGGTTCTTTTTTGCTCTTGTCTCACATAATGGTCCGTCAAAGTGGCATCGTTTTTAAGCCAGATACAATATTGATGTAATTATTCTTCTTGTGATTTGTTACTAGCATATATTCAGTATTGTACATTAACTGGCGGGTGCTCATTTTTGCATGCCACTGTTTGAAATTTTGAACTGTATTGATGTATTTTTTAATCACGATATCACAAATTGGGAGTTTGAAGGCGTTTGCCCCTCTCTCGCCCTCAGTAAAACTGAAGTAAATTGAACCCTCACAAAAGTCTATGGTTCTAAAGCGCACTTTAATCGTTTAAAGAATTCCACAGATACCCATAAGTGGCCAATACAAAATAAGCAGTTCAAAACAGATAATTTTGAATTAAAATACAGATTTTTATATCTACATGTTGGCATTTTGTGAGGATCTTACTCATTGGTGTTAGGCTTCGTTATTAGGCCGCTAAATACAAAAAGCAATATTTTTAAATACTCAAATCCCTTCTAGTCAAAATCATAATGCCGTTCATGCCAACGGAGAAGAAGAAGAAGAATAAGGAGAAGGCGTGTCGATCACCTGAGACTTCGAAGTTTTGCTGGTGTACATCATCATTGATAAAAGCGTCTAGAAAACAAACAAGCAACATTTATAAGGGACAGGGTTAATCAACCGTTAGAGGGGGGCAGAGACCAACTTAATAAATTGACAAACATTCAAAGGTATTTCTCAAGAAAACTGCTTTATCCGACATTTCCAAATATTTCCTACTCAAATGTCTTCGGGTCAAGAAATTGGAGATAGATTTTTGCGTCCTTCTTCGCCATAATAATACTACAAATCTCCCCAAGATTCCCGTCATTTCCCCCGTCAGTCGTCCTTACAACATAAAATTTTCCACAAACTGTTAGGCCTACTCCTACATCCTCCAAATCAAAACGCTCCTTCTCCACTGTTTCCAGATATAGCCTTTTTTAAATAACTAAAAAGTGAAATAAGTTCCTCAAGAACTATATCTGTTTTTGAGCGAACACATCACATGTATCTTAACACTGATAATATTAACTTTTTTTCTCTTCATCTTTTCCGAACAGCATTCTCCATAACTCCGAGAATTGACAAATAGAAATTGGAGAACACCTTTTGGCACTATTTGTTCTGTCTGGTGTACACCGAGAACCTAAAAGTCTCCGTAAACAAGCTGCCATTCAGACGATGGAAGCCCTATGGACGTCCTCATTCTAAGCCGCGGAATTCCACCTGAAGCCCTAAGATGACGTTAACTGATGCTTCTTCGCACGATTTCATCTGCTGCACATAAGTCACCATGAGAAAACGATACACACGTTTCATTCTCATATTATGAAGAGCTATTTTGGTATTGGCCTGCACCTCACATCTATCAATTTTCCTAGAAAATAATTATCCTACATGGTTTTTGTCTGGCTCAGTTTTTGACTGTAGGAGTTCTCTAACGGTCTATTTTCTAGTTTACCATTAATCGCAAAACATCACCAATTGCTGCTCTAAAATGAAACTTCCTGCTGATATAATTACAAATTTCTACAACTTTTCTCCGCATATCATCATACGTTTTTAGAAAGATACGTTTGTGTTGATAGTAGCTCCGTGGCGCTAACAAATATGAATAAAAAAAACCGGCGGCTTAAATTCGAAAAGCCCGCTCATAAATTCGAAAAGCCCGCTTAATTAACTACCCGTGCCGTCAGCTGGAAATGCGTACGCAGGGCTATGTATGGGGGCACCACCTTGTTACATCGGTTGACTGAGTTCTCACCCTGATGACAAATTATGATTCCGGTGATCGACACGCCTTTTCTTTTCTATCTATATGCATAGCTGGGATGCTAGCATTTGCTTCAAACCGTGCACATCATTTTAATGACAAATAATCGGCAAATAGCTGCACAAAATATTTTAAAATAAATTCGATATAAAACATATAGCATAGTAAAAAATATATTTTCTTTGCAACAGGGTGGTAAGATGAATGCGAATTGTTAAAATAGAGCATAAATGAAGTTCAGTGAAAGAGTTAAGTTGCAATCATTAACCACCGAAGAGGTAGTCGAAGGGGGCAAACAGAACCAACTCCTTCCCATCCGCTTTCGGTCGATTAATATGCATGTGTGGATGCTGCTGAACGTAGAGGTTTAACTTTGTCATGACCATGCCTAGCCAGGCGTCGTCCACTGGAAACTGCACGTTGAAGTACATGGCTAGGGCAATTTCCTGGAGGACATCAGCGCCAAGGACGAGAAAGGCACCAGAACCATAAGGCGCAAAGTAGGGCCAGGGCACTTGGCGTTTTGAAATGACCCACTTTTCCATTCTCGGAGACACAAGCGGACGATATACCTTACTTCCATTCATTGGGGAACCCAGCACCAATCGTCGAAGCTGTGCGTCCGAGAGGGCGTCCAATTCCGCCTTCAGGCGACTGGCATTAAAGGCATAGTCGTCATCCAGGAGAATAAAGACGGGAGGTCTTTGCTGCTGGTGCGTAACGTGTCCGCGACAGAAGCGAGACGCCCACTGGAAGGTGTGAAATAATGTCAGGCTGAGTTTATAGTAGGTGTCTTCGTAGTCGCCCAACACGAGGTCACCGTGGCGTTGGGCTTCTTCTGCTAGCTGTCTCAGGACTTTCAGCCCCCGGGACTGCATCTTTTCCAGTGAGGCGCCCGCCCGGCCTGGCAGAGAGATGTTTATACCGTCGCGTTTGAAGTAGCGACCACCGCTGCTTCGAGGCAGTCCCAGGGAGAAGACCGTGGCCATGCGGAAGGCCGGTTCACTCTCGGCTTCCTTGGCATAAGCACTCCGTACAGGCTTACGATCCTCGAAATTGTAGACAGCGGACTTGATCACCACGATAGCGTCTAGGGGCTTGTTGACTGCTTTATCCGGCACGCAGACAGTTGAACTGACAATAAGTAATCGGACTGTTTGGTTGTATATTGGAGTCTATGAAAGAAGGAGAGGGTGTTTCAGCCAGGTGTCTACAATTTGTTGTCCACATTTCGTAAAACAAATGACCTATTAATTAAATTGAATGTTTTCGTCAATTTTTGACGCCCTTTTATATCTAGAGGAATATTATAGTAAACAAAGATATAATTATTATCTCTTGTATCAATTTCATAGCACAATACGCCTTTTGGAAATATTTTACTCGAAGAAATCACAGATTACGGTTTCAAATAGTCTTCATATTACGCGATTTTAATGGCGTGTAATTTCGATCCGTAAAACCCGTTCTGCGTTCATTTATGAGGTATGCAGCAGGGCACTTGTATGTATTTGGCCACTAAATTTTGATCCGCTGAGGGGATTTAATTCTGAGAAAGCTCTATAGTTGGAACAATGTCCTTTAAACTTAAATGTGTCAACGGTAATGGCCATTAATCTTGGTTAGATGGGTCGTAGCTTAATATCGCAGAAACTGCATATGATATTGATTTCGATGTAGCCAAACGTGCTATTAATATACATAATGCTATTGGAGAACCCCAAATTACCTAAGAACAGTTTAAAAAAGATTCCTTCCCAAAATGGAAAATTTAGTCGGACGTATCTTAATTAAAGGTAAAACTAAGTCTGAGTAATCGCATTTATTTCATAAAACAAGGAACAGTTTCACTTTTACAAATTACTTTTAGCCTATCTGCGAATTATTTACCTTAAAATGCCGTAATATAAAAGGTTCGACGGCATTTTACTTTACCGTATCGAGTTTTTGGAGTGCGACCAAAAGTGCTCATATGTATCATCGTGAAAGAACGCAGAATGTACTTTTTGGGCACTATCGTTTCCACTTATGCATCATTTAGAAACGGAACAGACAGAAGAATAATAATAAATATCTGGAAATCTTACTAGATATATATATACACTCTTTGTTGCATAGAGTAGAGGCTGGAAGTAATCCACTATGACGGAAAATACTTCAGTATAAGGAAAAGTGCGACCCATTTCACATTTCGTATGATAGTATCCTTTATCGTCGGGTAAATTTTAAAAAAATTAGTTGAAAAATCTCCAATATCATTTGAACTTACCTTGCAAACGGTATTTTGTACAGAAGTCTGTCAGCTGAATATCTAATAAAAGCGCTTTTTAAAGAGCCCACCTATTAACCTAACAAAAACTGATATCAAGCTTTTGTTGTGGACGTTCCGTTTCCTCGACAATGTGTTTTGCTCACGAAGGCACTTCTGGTTATAGTCCATAACGCACTCGTCATAAGAGCTCATTTTTTGTAAATGCTCTTAACCGAGTTCTCATTTTAAAGGTTCTGTCATAAGCGTCGAACGGAATCTGGATTTTTGGACGAAAGACTGAAAGCGCTCCAAAACAGGCCAAAATATATATGATGATATTCAATAAATAATGATCCAATAAGGGCAATATGTACAAAAGTTTTTTACCCAAGAAAAGTTTATTTGATATAGAAAAAGTGCAATCATTAACCTTTAAACTGACTATAAGGTTAAAATTTATCGTCCTAGCTTATAACTATTTTTTACGTATCCAGTACTGGAAGATTATTAAGTAATTCTCTTTTTTAACAAACAAGTCGTATTTATCATAATTCTTTAAAGCTACAAATTTTACCAAAGTCTTTATGTTACTATTTAGGTTTTCATACGATCGTTAGTAGAAACTCGAGCATTTTTCGCGATTTATCTGCCGTTCTGTATGCCTTGAACGAGCACTTAACTCATTGTTCTTGTATTCATCGCATCAGCGCAATCAATATTTTAACCAAGTGTATGTACAATTTAAACTTTAAAAAATTATTAACTTAATTAAAATTTACTCAATTTAATTAATTAACTGAAATTTAAAATTCATGCAGAGTCGAGAATTCCCCCAAAATAGCCTGGTGACTTTACATTTTTGTCTTTTACTCACCTACCTCTGGTATGGGACGGTTTTTTCTAATGTCATCAACCACCTGCTTAATATCCAGCGCCTGCGGATAGAGCAGGAAGGCAGATCTTGGGATGGGCTGTAGCCAGTCCTCATCGGCAATCTCTGTCATGTCCGCAAACGTATACGGTTTCCTTGTTGAATTGTCTCGTTTGCTGAGCGGACCGAGGATCCACCGGTCGGCACTGGTATTTCTACGGCCCTGGCCATCCTTCTTCACATCCTGCACTTCGAGCGACAACTCAAAACTATTTGTCTGCTGTGAGTAGCGAAGGCATTGCCAGTCAGACTGACAGAGGCTTGCAGGTGTTTCGATCAGTGGTTTCCACTGCGGGAGAATCAACCATATTGTACTTATCAGACCCATCGTGCAAAGTATTAGGAGTAGGAGTCTACTCTTACGTGGCACCGAATACAACCTCATAGCTGGGAGAAAAAGTAGGCATGATACGTCAGTGGTACTTTTATATCGCCGGAATGCAAATCTAGCGTGTTAAGCGTTAGAAGCCAAGCATTTTGAGTCAACATTCGCTGCGATGTTTAGAGCCTGCCAATGAGCAAACACAGTCATGTGAGTTCACCCAGCCAGGTCTTTGGGAGAGGCTTGGCGGCGTAAGGGGCCAAGCATCAGCTGCTCATCCCAGTCCGCCAGACGATAATCAAACAAACGCACCTCTACACTGTGAAAACGTAACAAGCAGGCAGTTTCCTAAAAAATATGATGAAATATGTGATTGACGTTCAAGATGTCTGTAAATTATACGGGACGTCATTCGCTGAATAGTTCGGTTAAAACAAGCACAAAGTGCTATTTGTGAATGTAAGTATACCTGTGCTCTTGTTATTAAATAATAGTTATTGCAGCAACATGCCTCTTTTCGACTTTAAAAATGAGTTAACATGGTGACATGACCTGCCAGGTATTCAGAACTGCCAACTTTACTGAAAAATAGTGCACTACGGCTCAAATTTCGTGAAATATACCGACATTTGTGAAATATTTATACGCACTTGCTAATCGGCATTGAGTAGGGTTGTTATAAAGATTTTCCTGTAGCCTGTTTTCAAGTAATTCCAGTCAAATATGATGTGGGCCTTTTAACGAGTTTCCTTCCGACCGCTCACGAAACTTATATACTGTAGAAAATGGCTACTTGACTAGCATATATTTTTATCATAGATTTTGACCGCGATTATAAATTCAAATGTATTTTATGGAAGACATAAACGAAAAAGTATTCTTTGTAGACGTTTGGTAGAACAATACGCCTTTTTAAAATCTCATACTTAAAGAAAATATATTTTCCGGTTTTCGAAAATTTTCAAACCATGAGATTCTTTACGATTGCGAGCTGTTCTGCCATAGCACGTCGTATCGGTTAATTTATTAATGCTGCCTATAATGTATACAGCATTGCTACCGCGCGCGATCCGAGGAGTCAGTAAGGGACCAATCTCAAGGGATATAATAATTATTTTGAAATTCATTCTCGCTAATAAATAATTATGGGCGTATGCGTCATAATTTGAGGTTTAGATATCTTATACTTTTTACCCCCCTCAAATGAAGCGGAAGAAGTAGGTACGAGGACATGGGCCGAATTGTATTGAGAAGGACGTTTTGGACGCCCCTTTTGTTCCACCGTCAGATTAACTAGGTGATTTTTCCTGTTTCCCGGAACTCTTTGAGCCTGCTATTTGCGTCTAATTAAATCGTTTTCTGTGCGTTCAACTCTATAAGATAGCAGAAAAGGCTGTATTGGTTGAGGACGCCGATAAGCGCCAAATGGTTATTCTTTTCAGTTTACATCATAAATTACGTCTGAGTATTGAGAATGAGTGGAGAGCTGAATGTCAGTGCTCTAACCGGTTGGTGACGGGTATGTCGTACGTCTTATACCAGACCCAGCATTTTGAAACCTGTTTTCGATAACAAGAGAGTCCCGTCTGACATGTTAGGCCTAATCTTGGCAACCAGGTACGGAGTAAAGGTGACTTGCTGATGATTGGAGTATCAAAAAAGACCAAAGTAATATTGGACCTTAATTCAGGTGCACTGCAGTCTGGTATTGTATCAGGTCAAATTTGCCGAAATGCTATAAACGAATTCGAGCAACTTTCAAAGCCGAAGAAAATAATGGATTTTTTTTTGATGATTGAACCATAAGCAATTTACACCGTTCCAAAATCATCAAATTGATGCCTCTTTATAGTATTTTTTACTGATTTTAGCGTCTTCGAATTATTCAACGCTTCACCTTGTAAATGATTGACGTATCTTCATCGGAAAATTTTACAACCGGAATAAATATGTATAAGTAGGCCAATGTGCGTATCGACCGCCTCGTTTGATCATATAAGATTGTGCTTGCGTAGTTATCTGTATTCCAATCTTTTACAGTAAAGGTAAGCGTATGTTCCTGGGTGAAGAAAAAGCACCTTTCGGTTTAGGAAATATAATCTGGAACTGCATCACTTCTCCCAGATAAAGCATAGCCTAGATCAAATTGGCTCAATATGGTAATAGACTTACCCGAGACACATTTCCTGCTCAACCAGGATTCCGAGTAGCTAATAGTGGCTTCAGAAAACCGCATGACTATACAGTGGAGTCCGGTTAATGTGGACACCTCCGATCCAGGCCAACTGTCCATATTAA